AAAGCTGATTTCATATGTTTGTATAACAAAATGCCCAACTCATGTTATAAGTTAGCATATAAATCATGAAATGTTGTTCATGTTAATTAAACTAAATGCTCTATAAATCAGATAGTGAATCAAATGGACACATTTTATTAACATACCGAACAGTTGAACATGACTATGACGAATATAATTTATTACAGTTATAGCATATAGTTGGAACCTGAAAATTAACATAAATGGGACAAGTACAAATAATTCCTGAAATGAAATTTGAATATGACAGTCTATAAGTTTTTGGAATGCCCCTTGCTTCCAGTGGAATTTCTGTGTCAATCTGATAAAACTCCGTTAATATTTTTTGCTGGAAACATTTGCATACCTCCTGAAGGATTTCTTTGAAGTTCGCTAGGTGTTTGTCGAATGATTTCCCAATGTCATAGTCATTGTCGTTTAACTACCACTCGAAGGGCGTATTGAGTATCCAGTAGTCACTTTGCATTGCAAGTCAATTTTCTATTTAAATTCGTATTTTATGTTGACAATTTATTCATTTCTTATTATTTTGAATTTATATTTGACTCATATAACATAGTTTCTTCTTTTGTTTTAGTTTCGAATAAATGTTTTGCATAATTTATGGTGTATTCACTTCATTCATTCATTCCTTCCGTCTCGATAATGTCGTATTGGGCGTAGCAAATTCAACGCTTAACTTGTTTTGTTTCCGATTAACATATTCCGGAATGTACATAATGATAATTGGTAGCATCTCAAATTAATTTGAATACAAATTGAATGAAATTTATCTGCTGTTGATTTTAGTTAATTTGATTTTTAATACAGAAAATAAAATCGAAAGATTTATGTTTCCGATTCGCATTTCATTTTTGAATCAATTTGGATTAGTGTTTTGCCAACAAGAGGAATTTAAGCTATTTACTGAAAAAATTAAGCGAGGAGTTTAGCAGCAATAGAAATATAAAATACTGATGTCAAACTGGAGTGAAAATATATTGTTCGGAATAATTTCTACATAATTAAGATGTCATATGATTGATTAAAAATTATTCCGTTTGCATCACTTTTTTGACTGTCCTAATGAATAGACTTAAGACTAAATTCGTTAATATACGCTTCACAGCGAGGTGAGCATTTCTACAATCATTCGGATGATTATTACCCTATGTGATAATGGGACGGGACTTTTATATGAGAGCTATAATTAAAGATGGTGTTCATACTTTTCAATATTTATTATACTTTTGTCATCCAATAAAAACGTCCATCCACTTAATGTATCAAAATAAGACAAATCGGTTAAAAAACACCGAATAGTGGGGTGTTCCGTTGCATGCGGGCTACAACAAAGCATGAAGAGATATATATTTTCATCAATACTAAACTTCCTAGGAGTAGTATCAGTGTGTGCAAAATTGTGAAGATCTATCTTTAACATTGTGATGCTGTCGTGTTTTCAACATATAGACGGACATACATAAATCAAAATAGGATTTTATTCTGATCAAGATATCTGAAAAATCTACATAGACTTCGAGTTGTTGCACACCATTCGAATTAGAACTAAGTTTGGAAGAAATCGGTTACTCCATTCGAGAGCCATCGTCTGCCCCAGCCGGTTGGACAGACAGACGGATGGATATTTGTAAATATTTGTAAACGGATTTGATCCAAAGAAACATGGGATCTAAAACCAATATTTCGATGAGGCACATTCTTTCCGTATCAAAGTGTATATACACACATTAGCCATAAGACTGAGGGTATAAAATCCATGGACAGACGATCATGTATTAATCGCATCAATGCACTATATGTCAAATGACCGGTTTTTCTGTGCAAAATTGGAGAAAATCAAAGTGTCGTTCTTCACGAGTTGTTGTTGTTTTTGTATTTAGAACACTCTAAAATAGATACACGTGATATTTATTAGGGCTAAATATAAAGTACCGTTATACAGCTGGCCGTGGAAGTCGCTCAATACAATTTATTCTATAAATATGCTTATATTTCTGTGGGGCTTAGTCAACTTTGAGTGCGTATTATTTCGATTGTGTTTACAATAATTAATTAGTGTAAAATGAAAAATATAGATACAAGTGAGCATTTTTATATTAAATCAAAACATTTTTATGTTTGCGACACTATACTTGAAAATAACCCTTTAGTCTATGAAGACTTTAAAAAGTTAATGTAATTTGATAGATTGACTTTCAGTAGGCTATTAAAAAATGACCCAATATGACCTCTTTGAAATTTTGCGCAAAAATTAAGTGATCAGTAATGAGTTAATTTAAATTTATTTCAAGTTGCGATTTTTTGCTTTTTGCGAGTAATGCCTCTTTTATCTAGGCAACCTCCGTATAAAAAAATCGAACTTTTTGAAATATGGCGAAAAGAAGGTAACAAAAAGAAAAAACCTGGTGCTGTTTTCAAACATGTAGTGAGCAAAATTGCTGTCGACAACTTTTCGGATGAAAGAGAGAAATTTTTAAAGCAAATAGTACATTAAGTTTGCTTAACATTAGCGCAAAATTTGGAAAAATGTCACAGAAAGATGAATGTTTTCAAAGACAATAAGTAAGGAAAGATCAAAAGTCACTATATGATACCCTTTACCACTTTGGGTACAAAAAAAAAATGATAATGTGTACAATATCCTGTTGATAGAAGAGACATACAATCTTTGGATGACCATTAACATGGAAACGGGTAAAAAACAAATGTGATCTACATAGATATTTGAGCCAATAAAACCATACACATGACATTCTGAAATTAATAAGAAAATTGCATGCCAATCGCATAAATATTGAAAGTTTGGTGTACCATTTACCAAAAATCTCAATATGGACCGATTTCCAGGAAAACTTCATAGATTCCAAACTGGACTGAATTCAGTACGCTGTAAAAAATTTCGTTTAAATCGGACCATTATTGGGAGTTTGGTGGACCATTTACATAAAATCGGACGAAACTATATATGTGTGCCATATATTAATTTGGACCGATTTCAACAAAACTTCACAGATGTCAAACTCGATTAAATTCTGTACGCTGTGCTACATTTTGTCCCAATCGGGCAAACATTTTCAGTTTGGTGCACTATTTACCTAAAATCGGACGAAACTATATATGGGAGCTACATCTAAATCAGAACCGAATCCAACAAAACTTCGCATACATCAATCTGGACATAATTCAATACTCTGTGTAAAATTTTATCTCAATAGGACCAATATTGGCAGTATGGTGTTCTATTTACATAAAATCGGACGAAAATATATTTGGGAGCTATATCTGAAACTGAACCGATTTCAACAAGACTTGGTACATATTAATCTAGACCTAATTCAGTTCTCTGTGCAAAATGTTGTCTCAATCGGACCAATATTGACAGTATGGTGCTCAGGTTACATAAAATTGGACGAAACTTTATATGGGAGCTATATCTAAATCTGAACCGATTTCAACAAAACTTGACACATACCAATCTAGACCTAATTCAATACTCTGTGCAAAATTTTGTCTAAATCGGGCCAATATTGGCAGTATGGTGCACCATTTACATAAAATCGACGATAATATATATATGGGAGCTATATCCAAATCTGAACCGATTTCTTCCAAATTCAAAAATAACGATTCAAGTAACAAAAAAATCAGTTGGGCCAAATTTCATGACGAATATTATGATTTTGTTGCCGCTATTAATTTTTCACAGAAAAAGTGGTCATTTGACCTATAGTGCAATTTGTGAATAAGATAACACATATACAAGAAGGCCGTATCACGATAGTATCACAATGTTTAAAGATAGAGCTTCACAATTTTTGGGGAATATTGGTCCACTCCCTCTGGTACCTTTCCCATTAATAGTCGAAATTTTCAATATTTATAAGTACAATATCAGGCAAATGGAATGCCAGATATGAACCAAACTTTGCACGACCTATTATTATCTTTACCTGTTTTTTGTTTGGAGCATTCAGTTGTGAGTTACATGGTGTTAAAAATGGAACAAAGTGAACAAAAAGAAAAATCGGTTCATTTTACAGTTTTTCTTTGACAAAGGCGAAAATGCAAGCCAAGCGGATAAAATTGTGAATGGTTTCGTATATTGCGTTCAGGAATTTTTGATGTTAAGGATGCACCTCGCCCAGGTAGACTTGTCGTCGAAAATGTCGATAAAATCGGAGAAATGATCATGGTTGACCGGCATGTTAGCAGTCGTAACATCGCCCAGGAGCTAGAAATTGACCATAAAACAGTTTTAAAGCATTTACAATTGACCAGAAACGGCCAGAATTCTTTTTCCCCAACGTAATATATAATTTGTTTATAACCATTCTACCTATAATGGACATTTTGCAAAAATAATTGATTTCTCGCGATAATACTCTGATACAAAAAGGTTCAAGGAGCACAACAATAATCAAATTCCAAACTTCCATAAATTGAGTATTAATATTTTTCAGCATAAATCATTTTTTGTTTCTCTGAAACACTCTTGATTATAGCGTTCTTAAATAAGTGGCAATAAAATGCCACCACACAATAAGAACAGTAACACATAAAGAGTATTTTGTCAGCCGTATCGATTAAAAATTCATAGAAAAATGGAACGGAAATTAACTTTGCCAAAAAATGAATGGATGAATGTGAAATAATCATTAAAACGATAATAAAGATTCAGCATTTATTGAGGCATTTTTGGCAACAACGATACAATGTTTTAATGATACGAGGTATACTGTTGGCCATCGAAGGTAGCAGCAGTTTCGGGCATTCTTTTCTGGATGCCTGCTTTTGTTTTGGAAATTAGCTTAGCTATAAATTCATAATATGTTTTGGAAAGTGATACAGTTTTAAAAGAACATTCATCCAGTGAGATACAAAGGAAATTTATCACGAAAATTCAAAATGGTACAGAGATTTGAAAATAATTTTAAGGAATAAATTTGTTAAATATATTATTATTATTTTTATTTCAGAAATTCTTTATCGCTGCCTTAGCCTTTGTCACAGTGTGCATCCTAGCTTCAGCATCTCCCGTTGATAATCGAGGACAATACTACCATGGCCAGTACTATAATGGTCGCTATTACAAGAATCGTGAATTTTACAATCAACGTCGTTACTATGACAATTTGTTGAAACCATACAGAGCCGACGTCGTTGCCAAGGAATCTCGTATTGTTGAACAGAAAATCGAACCCGCCAACGATGGAAATTTCGCCTATCGATTTGATACCGAAAATGGTATTCATGCGGACGCTCGTGGTACGAGCATAAAAACTGGTGCCGAGGAGCCAATCCAGAAAATTAAAGGTTCTTTTGCATACATTACTCCCGAAGGTCTTCGTGTGGGTGTTCGTTACGTTGCAGATGAAGCTGGTTATCGTCCTGTCTATACTTGTAAGTGAAAACAGATAGGATAAATGGACGTTTTTTTAAACTAAAATAATAATTATTTTTCAGTTGATGGTTTTGAAGCTGTACAACATGCCAACTCTCAGCCAGCTGCTAATGTTGAGATTACTAAAATTCATTAAATATACACATGATCGAGGCAGTGTGGATTTTTTAAGTTATTTGTACCAATTTTTTTATTACAAAATAAAGATACAAATACAATTGATAACTCAATTAGAAATTCTATACATGGCGAACTAAAGAAAAAATGGGAAAATGTGAAAAAAATATAATTCCATTTATAATCGCGAATTGTATTTCATCCAAATTGAATAATTTGTTGGAAGGAGTTTTCCAACTTTACAATGTATTTACCCTCAAAGTAAACAAAGTAGTAAAGTCGGACTGGGCCGACAATATGATATCCTACACGACTTTAAGTATATTCGAAAAGACGTCGCCTTTTCGAAGGAATTTTGACATGAAATTGAACAAACTTAAATATGTGATTTTTATGTCTTTCTGGAACATATGCTAAATTTCATTTCATTTGGCCAAGTTTAGAGTCGTTTGCGCACAGTGGGATAGATTTTTGTAAATCGATTTAAAACAAACTTGACACATGCTATTCGGTATGTTGCACTGTTTAAAATTTAATCTCAATCAGACACCTAATGATTATTTGGTGTACAATTAAAATAAATATGTCGAAATTATATATGGAAGCTACGATATATCTATATTTGAACCGATTTGAAGCAAACATGCCAGTGATTAATTTATATTAATTTCAGTACGTTGTGTCAATCGGCCTAGCTATGGATCTTTAGTGCCCAATTTACATAAAATCGGACGAAAATTATGCCAAAATTCGTGCAAATCGAATGATTTTCAGAGACTTTGGAGCACCATTTACCTAAAATCGGACGAAACTATGTTTGGAAGCTATATCTAAATCTGAACCGAGTTTCACGAAACTACGCACACATCATTCTAGACTTAATTTAGTACGCTATACCAAAGTTCATCCCAATCAAAAGATTAGCAGGGACTTTGGTGCACCATTTACCTAAAATCCGGCGAAACTATATATGGGAGCTATTTATAAATCTGAACCGATTTTCACGAAACTTAGCACACGTCATTCTAGACTTAATTCGATACACTATTTTCAGAGACTTTGGTGCATCATTTACCTAAAATCGGGCGAGACTATATATGGGAGCTATGTCTAAATCTGAACCGATTTTCACGAAACTTAGCACTCATCATTCTAGACCTAATTCAGTAGGCTATACCAAATTTCGTGCAAATCGAACGATATATAGGGACTTTGGTACACCATTTACATTAAATCGGACGAAATAAGTTACATATGCCAAATTTCATCCAAGTCGGATCATAAATGCGACCTGTATTTTGTTCACAAAAATACATGGACGAACAGACGGACATGCATAAATCGGCTCAGAAAGTGATTCTATGGGTAATCTCAAAAGGAACCATGGGTCTATCTCGATTATTTTTGCCTGTTGCAAACATATGCACAAAGACATAATATCCTGTACCACAGTATGGTGAATGGTCTAAATATGGAAGTGGGTTGAGGCTAATAGTACGTCTACATTTAACCGGATTTCGTTAATCCAGTGGGTTTCAATTGTAAATTCTTTTGCATATATGTCAAATAAATCCTCATAAAGTAGGTTAACCCGGAAAAAAGTTTTAATGTATATGCCGTTTAATGCGCTATTTGTGTTTTATTAATTTTACGAACTTTGTGCCAAAGTAAAATTCGAAGTGTACATCAATGACAAATTTTAACTAATACATAAAAAATTATAGTAGAACGTTTCGAAAATCGATCTGAATCTATCATAAAATTCTGTTGACATTTATGAGATAATAACCACAAAACAGCAGTCACTCTCAAAAGGAACCATGTGTCTATCTCGTTTCCTTTTGCCTATTACAAACATATGCACAAAGACATAATACCCTGTACCACAGTGTGGTGAAGGGTATAATTATTTAAAAGAAAAAAATAATAATAAAAAGTTGAATTAGTTTTGACCCAGCACAAATTGGGTCAATTTAGTTTTCTATAGAACATTTTTTATTTCAAAATAAATGTTGTATTCAGTGTTTTTGTGTTTTATAAGTGAAAAAATTACCTATTTATTTCTGAAAAACTTTCACTATAAAGTTATTAAAAAAAGTTTCAGTACATTTATTCAGTTTGCAATTTTAGTTGGTTTAGTTTTGGCCACCAGTATATGGGAAATTACAAAATTCTTTTAAAATTCCATTAAAAAAATTTTGAAAATTTTTTTTGCGAGCACATTTATGATTTTTGGTACATAGGTTAAGAAAAATATGCTGATTCGAAATCTGTTCGCGTTCACAAATTCGGATGATGCGCACAAAAGTTATAGCGGTTTTAAATTTTGTATTTCAAATATATATTAAATGGATTCCTATTCGTTGTAATTCGCGAATTTCTTCACAAATGCTTAAACACCATTGTTTTCTTTGCATACTAGTCAAATCACACTGAAATACGGTTTAATAGTCGCGAAAAACAAATAGAAACATGAAGATATCGGAAAATAAAATAAATTAATTTTTGAATTAAAACTATTTTTTTTTTGAATTTTCGATTTTTTTAGTATGGTTAAGAGGATACGGTTTTGCCTTAATCTTCTAAAATATACGACGCTTTCTTCTGCAAATTCTTTTAGATGATTGTTAAATATCGGCAGATTCATCTGATAAGAGTTTCGACGTCATTAATGGCTAAATATATTGCATTTACAATACATAAAAATGATCAATATTGAAAAGCTTGCAATTCGCGAATTAATTGAAATCAGTTGATGCGCATGCGATTTTCGTATAAACCGAATCAATGTCTTTCAATAATTATTAATTTTTCAATGTTTAATTTAGCGGTCAAAGTGTGCCACTCGATGCACTTTACTATGCAAAAACCCTAAAAATGGCTAAAAATCACGCAACGTGCATACGATTTTTATGCGCATCCGATTTTAGTAATCTCCTATGAAAATACGCAAAAGGACACCTATTTTAAAAGGATCGGTTAAGAACCGCGGATGTGCCTCCACAATCAATTTTGGATAAAATACGCATATTATTCGCGTATCGATGTATTTTTGACCTATTTCCACGCAGATTCGCGAATTTGACAATACAAGCATAAATGCATGTAAAATTAATTCGAAGAAAACCGCGATTATTTACGCGAATTTGTCAAAATAAGTTTTTGCAGTTTTTCCCACATTCAAGGTACCTATATCCGCCGTTTTAATGGGCGGAATTGAACATGGATGGGCTCATTAGATCCGGCACGTAAAAAAACTAAAATCATGCGGGGTTCCACGGAATTTGAATGGACTTTCTTAATTTTAGACTAAAAAAATATGTTTTTTATAAAAATTTACGCACTAAATTTTCGTCTTTGGAACCCAATTGCAAAGAAGCTACAGTGAGCACATTCATGAGATATACACTAAACGAAGCAGAATCACGAGTTCTACGATCCTATAATTAGTTTATTCTATTGTCTGGATGCGCATCCTAATTATAAGAAAAATTCAAAAAACACCGAAAATCCGGCTTCAAAATGTCAGCATCCATTTTGGGTGGATGCAGTGATTATATCGAAAAATCATACATTAGAACCATATTGTCCATGGGGTATTCTGCAACTTAGTCACTGATCACATGTGTGTGCGTTGTGTAGTTTAGCCACAAATCGGGAACGAACACAAAAAAACTCGTTGGCTTCAACACATTTTCACCCATTTTTTTACATTACCACCATCACAGCTTCCACGCAACTTATTATTTATTACCAATATTTCAAGATTTTGACAAGAACACTTCATTTTATAGAATTGAATTTAAATTATATGCAATATGTTCATATTTCGCGAGTTATAACCTTGCAAACCTCAGCTTCAAGGAATTTAAAAGATTTTTGTAATTTCCCATATATATTATGCGCTTTAAGCTCCGTATACCAGTTAATTTTATATATTTTAAATTTTTTCTGTGATATGTGAATATTGTTGATTTAAGTTGCGATCATCATGTATTTGAATTATGAAGAATATAGTAACACCGAGGGTCACACATCAAAAGTTTTATTATATCGGTTTTCTAGTTTATGAATAAGAATTAAAATAAATGACAACGAATTCATTTGTTTATTGTATATTTTGCGAACAAGAAAGTGAACAAATTTGCTCTTTTATCCTATACGTCCTCATCCAAAGCCATAATTACTTGATTTAGGCGACTATGTGAGAATTTTTTACCCAGCGATAGAGCAAAAATATTAATCTCATTCCATTAATGTCCTTAGACATCTGCGTTTTCAATTCCATTTATATTATAGTTTGCATGTACCCAACAAATATGAACATTTTTTGTAGATTTAATATGGCTTCAAATTTCTGTGCTAGGTTTCGAAGTTTTTCACGTATGTATGTATAATACATTACTGTTTCTGACAAATCAATTCTATTCTAATATTTGTAAAGGGTCCTGAAACCGTCAAAGATAACGTCATCGAGAAATGTGTTATCCAGCACAATTCGATGTATTTTAATCAATCTTTAATTTTACATTTTGACAAAAATCAACAAACATTTTTTATTTTATCAATTTTATACTTAATATGTCTAAAAAGAACATTTCGAGAATTTTAAATTAAATTACGAGATATTTCGCAAAAATCTTGTTGTCTGTTTACTGTTTACAATAACATCGGCTTACTCTCTAAAATAAAACGTACTGATTAAATATTGCTGGAAAAGTAACCAGACACAGCTATTATCATGTAATCTGACTAAAATACTACATCGGGTCTAATGACTGTGCATATATTGATCCGTGGTTTTTATTTAATGCGAATTGCACAGAATGATGATTTGTCGACGTATGTCACACCATAAATTAATTTTACTACTGATGCTATTGTGGTATTTTAGGACAGTAGTTGAGTTGTGGTAAGAATTTTTTTATTTAAAGAGAAAAATTGTTGTGTTTTTATTTGGATTTTAAAAGATTTTTAGTCGATCGTTTTATTTACACCAGAAGAATATTGCAATATTGT